ATTGACGGTGCATTTCGCTGCTTATTAAGGGTGTATTGAGAGGTGTACCTTATATTTGTATGTCGGATAGATCCTTTACATAGGTAATAACGGTGCGGGAGGAGCTACATTTCATTGCCCTCCCCTACATTTCGATGCCTAACAAATTCGTTAACAAATAGTACACAAAATAATGTACTATTTTAACGAATAATGAGTTCCTCGTGATTTGACTGCCATTGCGGGGCCCTTACGCGAGTAAAGATCATAAGGCCCTCCCCTGGGAGTTGAGTCGGTTTCCCTCTTGTATCTCAAGAGTCTAAAACCCCTCCTTTTATCCTTCTTAATCTAAGTTTAGTCCTGTTCTGAGAGGAAGGCGGCAAGCAAGATTGCAACCCGTAGGACTGTAGCAAGACTCTATGGGGAGTCAGCCCACCGATTGCGGGAGCTCTGCCAGAACTCAGGAGGAGTTTTGGAGGCAGGGAACTGAGAGGTAATTTTTTGCTTTCCTTCTATAAACCCATTATAACCCCTATCTGTATTTCTTGTTATGGTTGACTGAGTATATGACCTGCATCCCTACTTTGACTTTTACGTCCGACTTTCAGGACAAACCAGACTTAATTAAAGGAATGATTGTCCAAGTTGCAGTTTCAGTTTTGTTGGTTTGACTAAAAGCAAATTGTGGGGTTGCATCCGGGGGAAGGATGAAAGCAAGGCAGTATTGTATGTTTGACCAGGTCAACCAAAGGTTGGGAGAGTCTCCATAAGATTGGAGGGTTCAATGCTATGTTTATTCTCGATTGTCTGAAGGACCAGACAAGTTCCCATAAGTTTGGGTGGTCTGGTTGCTTTGACTTGCAATGGCTGTTTGTGTTTGATTTTCAGGGACCAAGCATTTTTCCATAAGATTGGATGGTTCGGTCGCCTTTTTTCGTTTGGGATTTCTGATGTTTATTAGTTTCTCTCTTGTTTATTTTGAAGGGAATTCAGGCGAAGGACTAGACAGGTTCCCTTCAGATTGGGTGGTCTAGTCTAGAGTCGCGCACGTGTTGAAACCAAAAGGTGAAAATTGTTTATATTTTATACTATTTATTTATGAACAGGCTAGTCAGATACTTTTTCATAAGATT